AATTTCTTCTATAGTGGAAGAAACCATGAGAAAACCAGAAGAAATAGGTTTCTTTCAACCCAAGTGACTGAAACTCTTTTTCCAAGAAATAAATAAACAGTCAATAAATAACTGTAAACTAGGGGAGCACAACCTGCTGCCCGCGGGCCGAATGCGGCCCATCGACTGTTGATGTGTGGCCCGCGGGAACTTCTGAACGCAACAAAAAAAATTCTTTTAGTTTGTTTTTTGTTTAAACAATATAAATTTTCTTAAATTAAAATAATTAATTCAAATTTATATTACTCTAAAATGCCTATATTTTTTTGCACTTTCATTCTGTATGCTTCTTTTTGGTTAGAATTTATATCCCCCTAATATTTATGTATATCTGTATATATTTTATATATATCTATATATATTTTATATATATTTTATATATATTTTATATATATTTTATATATATCTATATATATAAATTAATTATTGTGAAAATTGAAAAAGTTTTTTGAAAAAAGTATCAGTTTTTTTTTAGTTTTAAATAAATTCAAATAATTAAAAGCATTTAATTTTTAGGTAATATGTTGTTAAGTTTACTGATAAGAATATAAGGTACTTGGAACACTAATAATTATATAAAAATCATCATATTTGCCGCTAACGTGACTAAATATGCGTGCGGCGCTTCGTTAATCTACCTGTTGTGCAAGTGGCCCTTCACTCAAAAAGGTTGTGCACCCCCACTGTAAACAATTTATAATTGCAAAATAGTTTGAATAATAGTATTGATTTTCCAGTCATTTAATGCATTGTTTTTAAATAAGTGAAAACTAAAGCGCAGAAAAAAATTCTGGATTTTTTTTAATGAATTTCTTGAAAAATTAAGATAACTTATAATTACATAATTTTTACATTATTTTTATAATTACATAAAAAAAACTGCTAAAATATTTTTAGAATTTTATTAATATCACTAAATTAACAAATCACAAACTTAACTTAGATACTACTGAAATCATGCATTGAATTCCCAATTGCAAATAGCTAATTTTTATAATCATATAATGTTAACTAAGACTACTTAAGCCGACTCTTAAATAATAATATGTATATATATTTTAAAATCCTTCATAAAACTTCTAAATAAATAAACGTTTATCTTTTTATAAAGTAAACATTATAAACTTTAAACTTTCTGTTACTATATTTAATTCATTTTGTTTGAGTGATTCATATAGTAAAACAATTCATTGTAAAACAATTGTATTGGTCATTTTTAGTTTCTTTCATTTTGTCCAGTTTCTTCCAGTTTGTGCAGTTTCTTCTATTTTGTCCAGTTTCTTCCGTTTTTTCTAGTTTCTTCCACTGTCCTGGAAGAAATAGGTTGTTTTCGAACGAAATTCCTACGCTGTTTAACGTGAGATAATTTTGTGGAAAATCATTTCTACGTAAACATTTAAAAATTGCAGATCCATGTTCATTTGAAATAATAGATGCACATTAGCAATTAAACTCAAAATTGTAAAACTGTATTCACACCACGTTGATTTAAATCAGCTAACCCGCTTTTAAAAAGTTAATTAAAAATTTTTTTAAGGCACAGTAGCATATAGAAGTATTGGGCATAAATATTTCTATAGATGAATATTATATTTCATTATATTAGTATTATATTACCTAGAGCTGTTCTGTTGGAAAAAAAATTTCTCACAGTGTTTCTTTTTTTTATTTTTTATGTCGGAGTTTGCGAAATAGCAACTGTGTTGAAAAGTCGATAATCTTTGTCAGATATTAATATTTTCAATATTCATTCGGATTTCACAACCTTCATAGTAACTTAACACATCCACATATAAAAGGAAAAGAAGGTTTAATTTGAAAATGTATGTGTTAATTATGTTTCGCATGCTGATGTATTTTTCCTTTTTCGATTGATTGAAACTCATTCGATAGCCTATATCTAAAAATATTGCTTTAGTAGTTTTTTTTCCCTCTCACTTTGTATTTAATTCAGAAAAAGTAATGTTAAGCATTATAAAATTCATTGTGCCATTCTACTAAAATTTGAAAGAACCTGCTTTAGAGAACATACAGAAACACCTGAAAGTTGCTTGCAAAACATGTTACAAAATGCGTTTGAGTAAAATATAAACAACCGAATAACTTAACTTGTTAACTTGTTGTTGCATGTTCTTTAACTTTGAATATTATGCTTTTCCAACAGATCGCTTTATATGTTCTCTTATCAAGCTCTTCAGTTGCTATCTTTGTTTTAACCATAAACTATCTTTTTGTATTAAAACGACACAAACACAGACATCTGCAATCATTGCAATTGTCTATTAACTTCTCTTCTGATTTAAATCGAGCACTTGTGGGGTCTCTCGAATTATCTGGAAGCTGGTGAAATAAGGTGTTCATTATCGCTACTCCTGTAAGATAAGATTCACGTGCTTACGATTTGAAGCAGCCTTAATGTTTTCGCCCACCTCAGCCTATCTCTACCATTCCCAATAATGTCTTCAAAAGCATTGCTGATATTGCGAATCGATGACTCTTATCATGGCTGAATCACGAAAGAAGACAAAAAGTAGTAATGGGTCTTCTATGTTGCCGCCTTTCTCTGCAGCCCTCCTCCAGACGAGATTTGGAGTGGAGGTATAGTTCTACCTTAAACGAGATCTCTCGCCCCTGTTTCTTTCTTTTTTCTTCTTTACTTCCCCATCTGCAAGATAAACGTGAATGTGCCATTAAAGATTGAGTGCCTGGTCGTCTTTTTGCTGTGGCTTCGTTTTAGTTTATAACTCAGTTTTCGCTGTAGACGCAGTCTTATCAATAAATTAGACGCAACTTGAATTCGTTGTTGAACGAGCTTTTTATTTTTAAATTCGTTCCTGTTTAAATGTTTCATTTGTTGGCCAGTTAAATTTCTTTTGTAATTTCATGATTTCATTGATTGTGAAGCCAAAATATTTACTGGTTCCTATGAATGAAGTTTTGATGAACTGTCAAAAGTTTTATAACTCAGTTTTCGATGTAGACTCAGTCTTATCGATAAATTTGACTCAACTTAAATTCCGTTTTGAATGAGCCTTTTTTTTCTTTCTCTTTTGTATCTCTTTAAAGTTTTTCCTTTGTTGGCTTGTTAAATCTCTTTTGTAATTTTATGATTCAATTGACTGTAAAGTCAAAATTTATTTTCTGTTTAAATTTTTTATTTGTTGGCTAGTTAAATAAATTTTTTTTTATTCCATTTACAATGAAGTTAAATTCTTAACCGGTTATGAATGAAGTTTTGATTGAGAAGAAGCGAGAACTCATTTTCCTCTGTAAGCGGAGCCTTTTCAATAAATTAGACGGAACTTGAATTCGTTGTTGAACGAGGTTTCTAATTTTAAATTTGTTTCTACTTAAATATTTTATTTGTTGACTAGTTAAAGTTATTTTTTATTCCATTGACTGTGAAGTCATAATGATTACTGGATTTTGTGAATGAAGTTTTGAAGTTGGACTTAAAATTGAAGTTTTTAGCGTTAGGCCTTCACGCATACATCATATAAATATGTATGAAACATTATACACTAACAAAAATTTCGCGAAAACATTGCATTTAGGATTGATTAATGCATTCCTCTTATAATTGAATAACCTGCTTGTTTGCATACAGTTTCCTGAAATCAGTGGTATTCCTTTAAGCGGGGCTGACTGTGTTTATAAAAAAAAGTAAAACAGTTAAACATAATTTGGCAAATCTTATTTTGAACTGTATATATTATATTTTCAAAGTCTATTAACTGAAGTTTACAATATTCTTCAAGACTGTAAGATCAAGATTGTCCTTATGCTATGGCTGAGAGCAGTATGACCGCAAAAGGGTTAAAACTACCTTCAAAATGTCATGTTCGTTTTAGTATATATACATTTATTAGTTTGCAGTGAATGTTTAATATGACAAATTCATCATGTAAATAGTCCAATTCAAAACATTGTATGGCAAAAACTATTAACTAAATTGTTATTAATAATCAATTGATCAAAAAATATTAAACAATTTTCTATTAAAATTGGAAACACTATATAACTTATAATAATTAAGATAAGGGGCTAGTTGAACGGAGAAGAAACTTGCTAGAATTTATTTTACTCATTTTTAACGAGCGGTTATCCTGCTTCGTATTTAGATAACCAGGAGGTTCCACCCCCTGCTTGCTACGCTCGCCAACTCTCCAGAACTTTCGCAGTTTCTTTCAGATTGTTTCGTTCAATCATTGGATACTTAAGTATTGTAGTTTAGCTTTGTATGTGTGATGCTACTCTTACATATACAACATATATAACATATAAAAATATACAACACATAAAAATATACAACATTCTGTAAAAACTTCAATTTTTAAACATTTCATTCCTTTTTTAAGCATTACGATTTGATTTAAATACATTTCAACGTTATTTGGAAGCTATACAAATAATTCGTAGAATAATTCAGGGTTTGCAAATTATTATTTAATCCTGGAAAATGCATATACAGTAATAAAATCTGTGGAGTCTGGAACATCAAAATCTGTTTGATAGCCGAGGGAAACAAAGAGGAGTTAAAAGACGATTGTTAAAAATTCCTCCTGGTTTCACCAGTCAATCAAAGTGGCTTTGAAGTTTCTGAACCTCCCTCCATTGTTCGACAAATTGAGATAGCGTTTTTTCTCTTTTCTTTTTTTTCATTTAAATATTTATTTTCGGTTAAAATTCATTAAAATCCTAAAATCTTATGAGGAAAGAAAAAAGTTTTTTTTTAAATGGCGGAAAAATTTACCGAATTTCGTTCCGGTTTTTTGGTTTTCCGATTTTCTGATTTCCCGATAACTGGTTCTGTACTGTATAATAAAACGAAATTCGAGTTTAAATTGATTACTTTACATTGTCAAAGCGTGAAAGAATATTATGTATTCAAATGTAATAAAATTATGCATTAGCTGTTTATAAAATTTAAATATTGATGAAATAATTTTTGTTTTCTTTAGGGAGAATCACAGCGAAATTGAGCGTCGACGCCGCAATAAAATGACGAGTTACATATCAGAACTATCAGAAATGGTTCCTACTTGTAGCGCCTTGGCGAGAAAACCAGACAAATTGACCATTTTAAGGATGGCTGTTGCTCATATGAAGACCCTGAGAGGTAAGTTTATTTACTATACAATAATAAATAAATAGAATACAATAATAAATTAAAACGCAATAATGAGATTATTATCTGCAGACAATTTTAATATTATTAGTGTGTATTTTCTTTATAAAATTTTATGTAAAAATAATAATTAATTCGAAGAAAAAAATTAAAATAAAAAAAAAGTTGTTATCCGAATATTTATGTCTACGTATCTATCTACAATTTCGCCTCATGTTTTTGAAAAACTGATAATTTTTTACTGTTTTTGAAATAAACAGTATCGGTGTCAATCTAGGATTTCTTATTCGGATTTTATTTTTGTAAAATTTGGATAATCCTTGATTGTTTTCCAGGTTTATGAGAATGCTTATAGAGTATTATGGGAATAGTAAGTTTTCCATTAAGTACCATTTTTTAGATTTGAAAATTCGTGTATTGTGATTTTTCTAGGAATGTGAATTTTGTGCTGAGTACATGAGCTCGCTTTCTTTGTACAACAGGAATCCTGGTTATACATCGAATTTATTGAATGTTCGAAGTTGTTTTTGGTTATTGTTCTTTTGGAATCTGTAATCAATCATTAATTTCAGTTATAATGAAATAAAAAAAACTAACTGTGTGATTATTAATCATCAATATTCTAATGGGGCAAATATATGAATTAATATGGCGCCACTGGAAAACAAGAACAATCGCACCCCTCTGCAACTCAGGCATACGAGAGAGAGAGAGAGATGAATTAATTTTTTTATTCATTTCGTTAATTCCTTGTTAAAAATACCTGGTTTTCGTGAAACTAAAGAAAATTTATCTTTTAAGGATATTCTAAGAAGGCTTTACAACGAATAATAGGCTCTTTTTTTTAACTACTGTGAGCTCATGAAAGTTATTTATGAATAATGAAAGTTATTTATGAATTCGGCCCATCTTTGACCTCTCTATGCTAATTAGGAAAATAGCACAAAATGTGAAGCAAAGCCACAATTCTTTTTAGAGTGAGCTTTTGTGATGCAGTTTTTTAATGTTTTAAAATTTATTCTAGCTTTGCTTTAAAGTCATAAAAATATGCAAAGAAATTGAGAATTATTTATTATAAATAAAATTAAGAATATATCATTGAATAATAAATATTAAAATGACTATTTTATAAGTTTTATAATTTTTTAAATATTTGTTCGTTTTTAAGTCTAGATAATTTTTTGTAACAGAGTAGCATATAAGCGTAATTTAAAATTAAACATTTAATTCGTGTTTATAAGACTGTAGTTTTTCAAAATGTAGATTTTTTTGTTTTCTTCAGCTGAACAACTTCTAGAAATATTCTTAAGTACACTTTAGTAATTAAAAGAAAAAAAGTTGCATTTGTGTCAGGTAAATTGTGTGTCATGTTTATAAATACTTTAGCTACTCTTATCCTAATACTTGTCCTTCCATAGTTAATACTAATACTTATATCATTCGGTTGTTATTAATCTAAGTTTTAAACCCCAATTTTAAATTTTTCATTAAAACAGCTACAAATGTCAATTTATTCCAAACTTGAAAACTTTGCCGTCTAGTTGAGAATGATTGATTGTTAAATTAATCAGAGAAATTAAGTATGTTTTAGAAATTTTTTTTTAAAAAAAAGTCACGTGTGTCGTGTAAATCGTGTGTCACGTTAATTAATATTTTAGTACTCCTTCGTATGCGGATAATTCAAGTTTAATCAGCATAATTTATTAATTTTATTTTATTAAAAACAGCAACAGGTGCCTCCCTGGCCGAGCGGTATCACCCGCCAAACGCTGGGCAAAGCGTGGGAGTATAGAGCTCGAATCCTGCTGTCCTTCTCTGTGCTATTTGTCCTTCTATATAACAAAGGTTTATAAGCCTTAATTGAGCTCACAAGCCTGCAAATGTACGTTGCAGGCTTGTGGATGTAAATCCTGCAATAAATAAACAATAAAATAAAACAGCAACAAATATAAATTTGTTCTAAACTTGGAAAACTTTGCCGTTAAGTTGAGAAAGATTGATCGATAAATTAATCAGCAAAATTAATTTTTTATTGAAACAACAACAGATTTCAATTTATTCTAAACTTGAAAAACTTCGCCGTTCAGTTAAAAATGATTACTTGTTTATCGACTTAAATTGCTCTTTTTGGAATATAAATCTCGCATACTCGATGTTATAGACTCATTGCTTTTAAAGACAATGCAGATTTCACTAAAAACTAAGGATCTCTTCTGCTTTTGTCTTTCCTTCACGGAATATATTCATTAGTGATCTCTCTTTTATTCTCGTGTGAGTTTATTTTTTTTTAAAAAGTTATAAACCGAAAAAAGGATGTGTTTATCGCACCTTATATTTAGCATATTTTATTTCTTGTGATAAGATTGTTTCATTTTTTTCCTGCCATCATTCACGAATGACTGATTCGTCATGCGACAATCAAAAAAACTACATTTCTTCTTCAACAAATATTTTCCCATTGTTAAAATTACAATTTTTTCCCCCTCACTAAATCGTTAAATTCACTGATTTTCTGAAGGATTTAAGAGAAATTCCTCACGTTGTTTGACAAAAAATATACAAGATATTTTATTTTTTATTGAAATCCAGTAAAAAATTGGTTGCTGTATTGCAATATGAAGTTCATATGCTGTCTGATGTCCTTGTCTACCTTCCCTGTTCCGCATAGCGAAATTTTCACCGATTTGCGTGCAATGTTTGTGGTTGATTGTGCGTGTAAGGGTTACTTTTTCTCAAGTCTTTCATTAACCCTGAATTTGTGTTTAGAACTTACTCTTTAGTTTCTTCTTTACCATTCATAATTATGAGAAAAAGAAATCACATAAAGTCATTACGGTTTTAATAATGGTTAGCTTTTTTACACGCTTAGATTCAATCACCAAGGAAGGCTTAAGAATACCGCACAACAGGAAGAATAGGGGAGAGTGGGGTCAATTGTAACCTTTTTTGATTAATTATTTTTAACTAACAAAAAATCCAATATATTATTAGTATTAATTGACAGACGAGTAAAGTAGACCATCCTCTACTAGAAAAAAAAACACCTTATTTTAAATGTTATTATATTAGTTATTAACAATTTTTGACAGTCGTGCACTTGTTACAATTGTCCCCACTTGCGGGGTCAATTGTAACAGTTCATAAATTCAACTAAAACATAGTTAATTATACATATTATCATAGTTGTGATATATTTTTAATTGATCAAAATAGTAGTGATATTTTAGGAGTAAAAATAATAATGAGCAGAGACCTAAAGGGTTAAACTTTTAACTTTAAGGGGTTAAAAATTTTAATTTATGCTGTGAAAGGTGACAAATAAAATAATGAACATGCAGCATAATATAAATGATATAGGAAACTATTGGTGGTTCTTAAAGAGTTAAGTAATGGTTTGTAAACATAAGAATATTTATTTTCAGCTTTTACAATCGTCCCTTTACTTACTGTTACAAACGTCCCCAAGACACCATTTCAGCTTCATTTGTTAAAAACAATGCTAGTTAATTAACAAATCTAATTTTTTTTATTGAAATGTTAATTAAGGTGTCCAGTTACATATTCGGTTAATAATTTTTATTTGTTTAAACGAAATTACTTTGTTACAATATAATATTCTAATACCAAAAAAAAGTACTTACATAGCGTGAAAATATCTTTTGTGATGTAACTCTTTCAAAAGTACATAAAAATGATTGCCAGCAGGAGTGTATATGTAGATTTATTAAATACACCTTGTGCGCCACCTAGGAACCAAATCTAGAACCCGACACTCGAAATTTTTGCTCTGTTACAATCGTACCCTATTACTATTGACCCCACTCTCCCCTACTGTCCAAATATTTTGTTATAGTCTTAAAATAACGCTTAAAGAATTTCATAAAGTGCGCAATTTCATCAAATGACTTTGTCATCACCTGAGATATCATGTCGAATATTTTGGTCTGTCAATGTATTGCGATATACTAAATAGAGTAAATCCTAGTTGCGAAATTGACCTAAAAATGTATTTTAATCAAATTCGAATTCAATGTGCTCTATTCAAAAATAAGAACGGAAACCAAATTTCATAAAGATGACTTTTGCATAAGTTTGATAGATCGGATTTTTTTTTTTAATGTTAATTTTAGTTTTAAGTTTTCGGTCACGTGTCTATTTGAATTTCCTGAATCTGCAATTTTTTGCGGGGAATCATAGAGCATACTACATGAAACTAGTGTTTTATGTAACATGCTTTCATTGGCATAAATTTTGCGTATTAGATGACATATAATATTGATAATACGTATGGAGCAAAAGAAAATTTTATTTTTATTTTGTTACATAAATTCGTTACAATTCTATGGAAAAGTGGCGTATGGTGAATGTTTACTTTGAGAAATTGATTTTCAAACATCAACAGGGATTTTATACTTAGATGATTTTCTATTTTCTTAGTCTAGTTTTAGAATTTATTGTTTTCACATTTTTGTTTCCTTCGCTTTTAGTCATTTTATGTTTTTGCAGAACTTTAAATCTCTAATTAGATAAAAGACTTACTATTCTTTTCAATCCATACCCTACGCACATTTTCAATTGTGGAATTTTTTTTAAATAAGTAAATGGAGCATTAAAATGGCTTAGTTATCAAAACTAATTTTTATGTTGTTGAAAAGAAAAGAAGCTTCTTTTTAAAAACGTATATAAAGGAACGCAAAAATTAGAAATTATGCATGTGCTAATTTTGAAACTTATAGGTAAGTTAAAGGAGACAATTAAAAAGTATGAAGAAAAATTAAATAGTTAAAAATTAATCACTACATATTTTTACTTTTATTTAAAATATATATAGGTATAGAGTGGATTTCCTAATTACCTAATTGGCTTGGACAATGATTTTGCCGTATTAACTGTGCATCCACCATTCCATGATTTTTATTTCAATTTGCCCCCCGTTATGAAAACAAATTCAAAGAATCTCATTGTTTACAGTGGCGCCGAATTATTGATGTGTTGCTCGTTTTAACTATGACGTGGCCCATGAAGCAGCGGCGTTGGTCGTGATTGGGATGTTTGGTGGCGAGGGGAGATCGAATGAAGGGATTCGTGTTCATCCCAGCCGCTGTGTTAGGTCAAATGACGGAAAATACTTCAATATTTAATGCTCTGCTACACCGAGTGTCATACGCAGTTCGTGAATATTTCCTCTTAAAGTGCTGGTCTCTTGGGGGAACTATCCTTCTACCATCACGGATTTAAAAATTACATTCTTAATGGCTGTTTGGGATCGCGCTTTATGCTTGGCGTCCTTCTCTCTAAAATAGGTGGTTTCATTTTACCAGAATGGGATGTATATATATGGACAAGCACATCATAAGTGGAGAACATAAATAATCTTAAAACCGAAGTCGTGTATAGAGTTTCGCTTTCAGATTGGTTAAAAATTTATTTTCTTGAAGAAAGTGGTCCTTTTATATGTTCTCGTTTATCTTCATTTACTTGTTGTGTTTTAATATTTTTTATGACGCAGAAAGTTTTTTTCTTTCCCCCCACTACCAGGACATTCTACTTTTTTTGCTTCGTACCAAATTTGTATAAATTTTAGTATTCTTCTGGAGTCAGTGGTAAAACGTTGGAACTTAAACATACTTGAAATATTAACTTTTTTATATTTACGCATATTGCTAGAAATGGTATAGCGTGTTTAACTTTAATATCGTTTAAATATGCTTCAACTTTAAAAGGTTGCTACGTAGAACAGTGTAGTCGTACTTAATTTCATGATTCAAATTTACGCCATTCTTAAAATGTTGCTAAGATGAACCATAATGTCGTACTTCTTAAACTTGATTGCTCAATGCTGATATTTTCAATTTAGACGAAAACATGGTTCGATTTACACACCTTAGTAAGATTGCTATTAACTTGCATTGTATTATTGAATGGAGAAAATACTTTTGTTGAAATACAGATGGTACGAATTACTCGAAACCAGAGTTTTTTCCTTCTTAAAATTCGGATAAAAAAAGTTAAACAGCATTAGACGTAATTTTCTACAATAGTTAATATACAATGATAAATAGTAGAAAAAAATAATGAAAAAGAACTTAATTTTGCAATATTTTTCGAACACAAAATAGTCCTATTATTTCTTATTCCATCGTAATCCTTGTTCACTTTTCTACGCAACATTGTAATTTAAAGTTATTAAGTCTAACCGATGAATTGAACATCGTTGAATTGAACATCTAAAACAGTGTCGGTGGCCCTTGCGATTTTTTAGTACAGAGAGAAGTTATCACAGAGAAATATATAAAGAATGTATTTTTAGAGCATATAAAAAACGGCCCTTTTTAAAAAATTTTAATGATGTATCTGGCCTACACAGTCTTAACGATATATCAGTACATTGTAAAATCCGTCAAATTTATGTCAGCTTCTTCATTAATCTGTCGTATGAACACAATCTATATTTCGTAAATCCATGACTTTCTAGGGCTGAATTCAGCTAAATTTTCGTAATTACGGTAGACTAATTTGGCCAATCAAAAGCCTGTATTTTTACATATCGCAAAATGCGATATGTTTACAAAATACCAGGCTTCTGATGGGCTTCATTAAGCCATCGTAATCGCGAAAATTTAGTTGAATTCCGCCCTAATGTCAGTAAGGATATGAATTTTTCGCAGCTAGATGACAAAGTTAACAATCAGAAAACTGCATTCGGTATGATGGACATAGAATTGTCCGAAAATCACTAAAATGGACAGAACGATATTTTGTCTGATCTTTAGAGGAGGACTGTAATATTTGTTTATCTTTGCCTTTAGGTTGCGCCATTCAATCGTGATATCCTGTCCGTTGAAAGTTTAATGATTTTCCAAATTTTCCTTTTTTTATACATTTATTAAACATAACGATAGGAACACTAAACATAAACACAAATAAACATAAAATTTCCCTGATTAAGCATTATATATTCAAATCGGATTTTTCCGATTCCACGAGATGTTTATCTCGCCATTTCAAGATTCATTCTGATTGAATTCTCCCTCGGTTAGGGAAGACGCCTAGTAGAAATCCCTTTTGTGGGGATTTAACCTTATTCGTGGCTTGAGTTGCCACAAGGACTTTAGACTTCATAGCTATTTTATGCTCTAGTTATTTTTCTTGTTATTTATAATGAGGTGAAAAATTTAAATACCTCCATAAAGTTCGGTTCTTCATTACTGAAGCAGAGGGGGCCCCCAAAGAAGTCGAGCCCTGACAATTTACATTTACTGAATCAACTAGCAGTTTTCCGTAAGTGATGCTTGACGGCGCTGTAGAAAGTTGGGCCAGGAGAAACTTTAAGAAACGCGTTGTGATGACGTCAGAGTGCATCGTCCTTAAATATTTTATTTCATGGAAATTACAAGCCAAAAGATATCTTTGTTTTATGTGAAAATCTTGTTAAGATTTTAATTACATAAAGCTCAGTTCACATGCTGATTTTGCAAATTTACGTAGCGGATATTTACTTTGCTTCACTTTTTTAAACTTTTCCAGTCCATGCGATTACAACTATGGTATCTAATCACTTAAGTGTAGATCTTTTAAATCTGACTACTCACCATTTAAGGAAACTGTGGTCTCGTGATTATTTTTAATAATTAATGATTCTTTAGAAAAATATTTGATCTATTTGAAGAAAGTTAGAGAAAGGTAGATTGGTTTTGATTACATACAAAAGACCATCTTCCCACAAATGCATTATTAACATCTGGAACAATAGAAATATATCCTCGAACAAATAGCGTATCCAAACCTTTAGAATTTGACAGAAATCCTTTCAACAAATCACTCTGTACACACTACTGAAACGTTTGAATATACAGATAGAAGATCAAGCGTTGTGAATACATGAATTTTGATGTAGGAATACAAACTTTAGCAGCAGTCCAATCTGTCTCTATAATATAGTTCACTTTCATAGAATGCTATTCACCTGTGTTAGGAAATTTATTTAATATAAACTGTGGTAATGCAGATTGTCACTTTTTATCCTAAAGTCTTCTATTTCAATGATTAAAAAAGCCTAAAAACATTGGTGAAAGAAACTGCAAATCTTGCAACACAATATTTTAGCTTAAAAAATTTGTAGGGATTAATAAATAATTTTCTGAATTCGTTTAAAGAATTTTTTTTAAAACTCTAAATCTATTATTTATTGTGAGAACTTTATTATTTGTATTGTTAGTAATTATTGTTGTAAATGTATAAATGTTTATTTATGTATTGTACTATCAATTTGCAGGCACAGGCAATACTAGTTCAGATGGTACATATAGGCCATCTTTTTTGACAGATGAAGAATTGAAGCACTTAATTTTAGAGGTAAAAAATAGTTTCTTGTAGTTGTGTAAATTATATTTAAAGTTACTTAAATTCTATATGCATAAAGAGTTATATTTAAACTCATTCTGTCTGCTAATAATGCTTTTTAACCTATTGACGGATCTGCATGTAAAAAGTCGGTATTTTAACCTGCAGTCTTCTTTGCATAGCAAAACGGGGTTTTTATGTTATTAGATAGGGAAATGGTGTATCGGGGAAAAACATTCACCCACTCTTGCCCTCCTGCTAAAAAGCCAGTGGGTTAAGGTAAATAAACTGTATGAGTTATTCTGTCATAGTCATCTCCTTAAAAAATTAAGGAAATAAAATGTAATGATCATGATATACCCAATTTTAATTTCATATTTGAATTGTAAAGCTAAATTGAAGTTTTTGTTATGATATAATTTTATGTATTAAGGTAGGTGATACTTGGGTATTACTTTTATGTTAATATATGGATGTCATATTTGCTCACTTCATTATAAAACAACTATTATCCCCATATACCAAACTTTGTTGTTAGCCCAAAAAAGAAAATTACGTAGAAATAGTAATAATATTCTGCAAATTCATTTTAAAACAAACCTTCATTGAGTTATAACTTACTTTTATATCACAATTTGGTAATCAAAATTTGAAAAAGGAGGTTAGCGTTATAATCATTATCATCATTGTTAAATATCTGGATGATTAAGGAATGGGGGGGGGGGACTTAACCCATAGTATAGATAAGTTCTTTTTCCATTGAGTTTTAGTTTATATGTTTGCATTAAAATTCTTGAAGCGACCTTTCATTATAAAAATAAGTATAAAAATAAAGAATGTTTGTTTAACTCTTTAGCGAATTTCCGCCTTTTTCGCTTTTGTCTCTCGAATTTCAGCCTTTTTATAAAAAATTCCGATTCTCTAAAAGTTTTTTTAATAAATATTACGCTTTTTCTGAAAATGCAGCCGTTGAAATAAAATAATTATATTTATTTCCGATTTTCAAAGATAAATAGAAAATTCAAACTACGTAGCTGCCATATCTACTTATTTTAGCTATTTTCTCCGCTTTTACTCGCAGAAAATAAGATTTTCCTTATTTTTAACCTCCCGCTAGATAACTCGTATTTTCGTAATCCAGACTTCACTGCATTTCAATATTAGACATCGATTTTCGTATTTACCCGATTTGAAAATTGCTCGTTGCGCTTCTTACTCACACGATTTTAATATCGTACATTGCAATTCTTATTTACGAGATTTAAAAATCCATTATCGCGATTTGTATTTACGTGTTTTTAAAATCCTATGTCGCTATTCATATTCTAAACTCAGTGGCGCGACAGCCCATAGAGGGCCAAGGCCTACTGTGCCCATCTCAGTTTTCTTGACCTTGGGCTCTGGGGTGCAGGAGCAGATGTTCCGGTCAGGTGGTCAGCCGAACGCGGAACCCCCAGTGTTTAGTTCCCAAGCATGCTTGGTACTCATTTATCGACCCACTGAAGGGATGAAAGGCTGAGTGAACCTTGCCCGGCCCGAGGATCGAACCAGGGACCTGTAGCACGACAGCGCGAAGCGCTACCGTTCAGCCACCGGGCGTCCGCTATTCATATTCACGCGAGTTTAAACTTCAATGTAGTGATTCGTTTTTGCGGTTCTAATATCGAACATCGATTTTCGTATTTAAATGTGATTTAAAAGTTAGGCTTTGGATTCGTATTCACGTGATTCAGAAACTATGCATTGTGATTCGTATTTACGCTATCTGGAAATTACTCATCATGATTCGTATTTTGACATTTTTGAAATCCAATATCGAGTTTCATATTCACGTAATTTCAAAATCCAATATCGTGATTCATATTCGCGCTATTTTAAAATATCCAAGATCGCTATTTGTATTCACGCGATTTTAAAATCCAAGACCGCGATTCTTGTAAGAAATAAGTTTATTTCTTGAATTAGTTACTATAAAGGTGGCAGATTTTATATCGACGATTATTGATTTATATAGGCGTTACAACATTAGCAAAACTGGATGAGAATATGTTACTGATATTTATTTTATAAATCATGTGAGATTTACTCTCTTGAAAATTCAGCTTTTTTGCCCTTTGGCCAATCTCATCCCTGTTAATATGATATAAATTAAAACTTGTAACATTTTTTAATTAGTTTGACCAAAGTCAAAACTATGAGTAATTTTCCCTCTTTTTGTGATTTTTCAAAGTAATAGTTATTGTTTTGTTTATAATAGCCTTTAAATTTTCAGAGTTCATTGATAAATTTATAAACTTTAGAAAAAATTAGTACTCTTTAAAAACTTGGATGGGTATAAAATTTACAATTTTTATCTGTGTTCTCCAACAGCTAAAGGTTTTTTTTAATATATTTTTTTAATTCTTCTTATTTATTTGCTTTATTTTTATTTATTTTTTATTTATTTATCTATTTATTAAGAAAATTGGTTGATATATTTTTATTCTGGCATATGTTTTTCAAAGAAAATGTTTAAATTTCTATTATTCGGTACAAAATTACTTTTGTTTGCATGAGATATAAATTATTTTTCCATTTTAATGTTAGATGAATCATTCCAGCTATTATGTAGTTAAAAAAAATTTGCATTTTTGCCATACTTACACACTAGAAATAAATTATTTAAGTGAACCTGTTCTTTACTGATTTAAATTTTGCCGCTGGTTCACTCATAAAAAAAGAAAAAAAAGTTTTAAAAAAATCTATAGCCAAATTTAGAGCTTAACATATTTTTCTGTTCTTAAAAACTATTAGACTATTTTAAACACACATATGGAGATCTAATATCTATATTTTAAAACTAAAACCAAACTGAAATTGAGCAGGTTTTATTCCTTGATTAGTTAGAATACTTGATTACTTCGTTACTTGGTGACTTAGAAAATATTTATACAGAAATTAAGATTCATTCTATTTTGTTGTAGTGTAAATTCTACACTGTTTAAAAGAAATGTGTGTTGTTTTCATATAAAACTTTTATTTTTATATTTCTTTACAGAAATTTTCGAGTTTTAATTGAATTGCTACTTATAAATGTTAAATTTTTCTAGGCAGCTGATGGCTTCCTATATGTCATTTCTTGTGGGGATTCTGGTCGAGATACAGGACGCATTATTTATGTTTCTGACTCCCTGTCATCTGTGCTAAATCAATCTCAGGTAAACTAGAATTTTCATTTAGTAATGATTCATTTATTTTGATGCTTTTAAAAATGTTTTATTGAGAAGTTTTTAATCACTCTAAAAAATAAATAATAACAGAATAAACTCTGATATGTCTTAATTCATCTTTTAATGAATATCTTTTAATAATTAATTGCATTTGTTGCATCTTTACATTGCTGTATTAAAATAAAAAACAGCCATATTTCTGCTTTCTATAAAATTTTGTTTTAAATTTTTTTCAGTTAGACAGTTGAAAATATTTGCTGTTTGCTTCAATTGTAAAATTTTTATTTTATCAATTCTATTTTTACATATTTTTTTTTCTTCAAAATTATATACATATTTTTGTATGCCGCCAATATGTTTATGAATAAGTAAACTCGTAATAATTATTCTACAAAAGCGAAGTTTGTGTAGTTGTATACGAACTCCATTGTATACTCTAAGGTTTGTCTGAATTGACTTTTCTCTGAACTTTAAATTTTAATACATTAATGGTGATGAAACTGAATTTGTGAAGAAAATTTTTATAAAAGGAGAATAGTTAATAACTTATAAAGATAGATTTAAGTATTTTTTTCTGTTTGGTATTTAATCATAACATACTGAGATAGTCAGTTCATGAGATTTCATTGTAAATACAATGCTTACTTAAAATATAGAATTAATATTTATATTTCATACTTCGCATTAAAATACCAGGAGTTTAATAAAAACCCAGATATACTACATAAACTTGGTTTTCATGCATTGTCATTTACAGATATTCTGAATTTATTGATAAATTAAAAAATGAATGTAAAAAAAATATTTTTTATTTCCATAATCAGGCTGATTGGTTCAATGCATGTATTTTTGATCTCGTTCATCCGGATGACATTGATAAAGTCAGGGAGCAACTTTCAACTCAGGAATCTCCAAATGCTGGGAGAATATTGGATCTGAAAAGTAAGTAATAATGTTTATTGTTTAAAAAAAGTTTTCAACCTAAATAATTGCTCTTTATTTGTGCTAACAACACATATTAATCTATTGTTTATATTATTTATAAATTTTTTACTAACTTATTAATTATCTCAATTATCAATAAATAAATTTGAAAATATAATCAAAATAACCTAATATTAAGACGTAATTAATATAACATACTATTGTTTTTTTTAACCCTTTAACTGTCTAAGTCTTAAAACATGTTTTTCTTCTTTTTTTATTACCTTGTTTTCAAATTTTTTAAATTAATATTAATGATGTAGATTGATTATAGAATTAATTTTGACAATTTTTGAAACTTTTGACAGGTAGAGGAATAAATATAAGACATGTTGTAATAAATTCTAAAATGTAATATGAATTAGCTTGATATAATTTTGTTTACTAAATATAAGTTAATTTGGTTTTATTTCCATTTTTTAATTAGTCTTTTTTTTATTTTAGCTGGCACTGTAAAGAAAGAAGGTCACCAATGTAAGATTACTTTAGAGCTATTAGTATTAATGCTGTTTTATATATTGAATTTACATGAAATAACATATTGGCTTTTCATATGTGTGGGTCTGTTCCATAGTACCTTATGAAGGCTATCTTGAATAATAAGCTCGTTAAAATTATTTATAACTTAAAATATTTATGTTTTGTAACTGATAATAGCTACCACAAATTTTCATTTTCATTTAAAAAAGAAAATTATGGTATGCATAAAATCCTCCTCCTTTTAGTGCACAGGTATATCAATAATCACTGAATTTATGTGAACAAGATTGGTTTATAAAAATAAATTTGACCAAATTTAGTATACTCATTGCTTTTGAAGTTTTCTTTCTGGAATTTAGTTATTCTTTTACATTTTGTAAATATGATATATATTTTTCAAATATGTTGGTTTTATGTTATTATTTTTTATAATTTCAAATTTTACTTATATACATTAATTTTACACATAATATTATATTATAATTTAATTAAATACATTATTTTACATAAATACACAAATTTAAGCTGATGCTTGTGTCTTTTTGTTTTAAAAAAGTCTTACTATTCTGAGTTAACAGCTGCTATAGAATTACTGTAATTTCTTTGGATTTTAATTTTTAATTGCAGTTAAGCTCAATTTTCCATTGCGTTTATTTTCCATTACTCGTTATTTAGTAAATTTTCTTCGCTTTTTAAAGAATTTCTTAGTTTTACCTACTTTTTTTGGAATATGGGGACAAATATATTTTTTTCATACATGGAATTTTCTTAACCATGTGCCTTAAGTGTACTTTTTCAACTTCTAGTAAAAAAAGTTAGGTACTGCCTTTTTCCAAATTAAATGATGCCTATGATTTTGCATAATTTTTATTTAAAATAAGAATTCTCAGTTTTAACATAAGAGTGAATAATCTTAAAATGTGAAGTAATAAAGTCATATTGCAATCTTTTTCCAGATTGCAGTCAATGGTTTTAATAATTATTAATTTACTTTATTAAGTTCTAAAAATACTCGTTTAACTCGGGATTTTATTCACTAATTTCTGATTGTGTAGTTTTTAAACACTTTAAAACTTAGTCATTTAGGGATGCTACATTATCATTAGATTTTATTTAATGACAATAAAACTTATAATTATTAAAAATCGTAAACGTACTATAATTCAAATTTAGGGACCATCCATTAATTGCTCATTGTTCAGAGTTATAATCTTATTTCTGTCCCCAAAAGTTTTTTTCTTAATATGCCTCATTGCTAATTGGAAAATGATGTTAACTCTCCAAGCATTGAGCTCCTGGTTAAAATTGTATGGAAATTCCCTACCTAATTAACACTCTTCCATTGACTAACAAGTAGAAAATCTATTTTTTGATGTAGGAAAGCTTGCAACTGGAAGTTCAGAAAAAGCTAAGTTCAGTGGATTAAAGATAAACTTAATAACATTTTTAAGTTGTATTTTTTTTTTTATTGTGCAACAAATTATTGCAAGAGTATTGTTTTTCATTTCTTATACATTTTATATATTGTAAAATCCAAAATACTTTTAAATATCCACTTAACGTAAGTAATAATTTTAATTTTAGTTTTTTTTCTGTATACAACTATAAATATCAGTTTTTTTAAAAACTTTTTTTGATTTATCTTTGTATTGAGGATTCTACTTAAAAAGTCAAGAAAATTCAGGTCCCAAGGTCCAAAATTGCATCATTTTTTGAAAAATCATTTCTGATCCAACTTTGTCCAACTTTGATATGCTTGTTCTTATCATAATTTTTTTTTATTTGAAAATATTCAGGGCTGCACATTGGATTTATTTTTTATGTAATTAAAGTTATAATTAATGTTAATATTTTTTTTATTAATCATGAGGGTGATCTCTGTTAGCTTTCTTTGTTTTAAGCATGTTAAATTAGTTTTTCTTTACAATTACTTGATTAATTTTTTTAGCTTCCATGCGTCTGTGTATGGGCTCTAGAAGAGGTTTCATCTGTCGCATGAAGATTGGCAATCTCCAACCAGATGCCATGTGTTCAGGCCATTTGCATCGCCTTCGAGAGCGAAACAGCTTGGGTCCATCTACTGACGGCAATGCATATGCAGTTGTACATTCAACTGGTTATATTAAAACATGGCCTCCAACAGGTACTGCTTCAATTTAAATGTGTTTTTCTTCTAAAGATTTTTTTCTTATTGATTAAATTTGTTGAATATTATTAATTCTTTTGTAATTAATTTTTTTTAATTACATACAACTGTTAACGATATAGTAGCTGTTAATAAATTTATTGATTGGTTTGGTGATCATTGTTAGAAGTTAATTATATATTATAATACTTATGTATTATGTGATGTTTAATATCTGTAAAAGTGATGTTTAATATTTGTAAGTTATACAGTTTTCTATTCATTAGCAGTCTGTATGATAGAGAATTTACCCTAATGTGTCATCTCAATGCATGGACCACTGACATTGAAAGTTCCTTGAAACAACAAGAAAAATTTGTTCACTCTAAATTCTTATTGGCATTTTTATAATATTGAAAATATATTAATGAATTAATAATGAATATAAATAAAATTTATTGAAAATTAATTAAATAATAGCAAAACAGTCGAAGATCTATGTAATACAATTCTATAAACTGCAACTCTCTGTAAAAAGCATTAATTTTAAGGACAAAAAAAAGCTCTTATTATTATGATATATTTCTATTTAGTGTAATATTTAAACTTTACTAGTTTAATTATGCTGTGGCAATCTAAACTATCTTTCCAACTTTGACATGCAATAAAATAAATTGATAATGAGCCTAATTCAGTTATGGCATAATTTTTATGTTATTAATATGTAAGGTATAAAAAAAATTATTGTTCAATTCTACCCAGAAATGTTGCAGCTTATCCCCAGAGGCATCTGACACACTCAGCTGAGAATTTTGCAATCATTAAGCTACAACAGAAAAAATCTAGACATACACCCTTATACCAATTAAACTCAGTGTTTACAAACATTGTTTTTCATTTTTTTTTTACTTGTTCCTGTTCAATTAATAGAACTTATCCATATTATTTTTATATATTGTTTTTAAAAAAGTAATTTTGAATTCCCCTGTATGTTGTAATTGGTTGACTTGGTCTTTTGTAAATAAGTACTTTTTAATGATATTTATAAAAAAATTAAGTAGTTATGATTAATTGATAATTTTGCTACAGTTTTAAAAAATGTAGTGTTGATTGCTGTAATTTCTTAAAGATCTCTATCATTTTCGGTTTTATTAAGAAAAATTTTATTTTAAAAACAACTATTGTAAAGAATATTCTTAATTTCAAGAGCTAAATTTTTAGAAAATTGCAATAAGTATTTTTTGGGGATTTATAATGTGGACTTGAACCAAGATCTGGGATTTTTTAGTCATTCTTTCTTTGATTTAAAAACTTTTTTAATTTAAATTTTTTTAATTTTCTTATAAGACAATTTTGTAATTTACATTAGTTGTTACTGCATTTTATGTTAAAATTATACTTATATAATTTTATTTTAATATTGCTTTAACAACTTTTAAACTTAAATGTAATTTCATCCTGATAATAATTGACGATGAATGATGATGCTGTAAAATATTTCTTAAATGAGTTAAAACTGATATAAGACTAATATCAAAAAAATTTTGCTCTGTCTTTGTTTCTTTTTTCTTGAACATTAAATTTTAAGCCATTAGTTGTAATATTTGGTATACTGTACTTTACATGTCTTATGTTATCTTATGTCACTTGGCAATTATTCCACCCTCTAAATTAAATTATTATTGCTACTTATAATATTGGTAATGAAAACTAATGTTTTATGTTTCTGAATTTTGTGTATTTCAAAGGATGCCAACCATTGCAGATTTTTTGTTATTTCTACTTCATTTAGTTCAGATTATGAAATTACAAAAGTCTTTTAAAAACCCAGGAAAATACACTATTTAATAGCCACTTTTTGTTATATTTTTTAACTATATTTTTTCAATCAAGGAATAAACTAAGCAATTTTTCTAATTCTAAGTTGTTAATCTTTACACAATTAAATGTGTTAAGCTCATTTTGTTTTTAGAATATCAAATAAATGTTTAACTTTACAGTTTAGTAAAGTTAAATAAACAACAATAAACTAGTAAAGTAAATAAACTAGTTTATTGTTGTTTATAAATAAACAACAGTAATAAACAACAATAAACTAGTTTAGTAAAGTTAAATAAACAACAACAACAACTTTAAAAAAAACAAAACAATAAACTTTGCCAATGTGCAAGTTTGCTGTAACTGGTTGACATCTCTAAATGTTTTTCCTCATGTGTTTGCTTTAAATTTATGTGAATAATTCATTTGTTTTCAATCATTTGCTTTTTTATTGTTTAAAAAGCAGATTAAACATTTGAAATCGTTTGATTAGATTTTTTACCACCAGGTGTACAAATTGACCGAATGGACCCAGAAGATGGACATGGTGGGAGCCATTGTTGTCTTGTTGCGATTGGTCGGCTTCAAGTTACAAGCACACCCAACAATAGTGATCTAATGGGTTCAAATTCATCTAGTGAATTCATTTCTCGCCACAGTGCTGATGGAAAATTCACTTTTGTTGATCAAAGGTAATTAAATTTGAATCTATTCTACAAAAGAAGTTGGCAAAATATTGTATAAAATTTTATTTTGAGTTAAAAAAAAAATGAATTGTTTTTTAATGTAGCTGTTTTATTGGCGAATTGATAATATTTCATGTAAATATCTGTAAACTTAAATTTTTTTTTAATTTAATTTTTTTTGTTGCACAGTGTTGGATGAACAATTTTTGTATTAACTTTTATTGCTAAATTGCTTTTATTGCTGAAAATTATATTGTGTAGGGCAATTCCACGAAAGTGTCAACTTTTAAGTGAAAATTTTTTTTTATGAATTGCATATTTTAATTTTAAAAATATGTTCAAAAATAGCCAAAGTCTACATATTACTGTTTAATTTTTGATAATTTTAAGTTTTTTGAATCTGGCAGCATTCTAAAGTAATCACATGGCTGACAAGTGAATTCTTCACATTTGTGCTCAAATTGTTTTCTTGAAAAATACTTATAAAATAAAAGAAATGTATCTTTCTTTTGCAATATTTTGATAAAAATATGCATATAGTACAAAATTTAAACATTTAAAACATAGCCTTTAAGTCATTTTAAGTTTAATATATTAAATAAAAGTAACTTTTTTTTGTGTCATTCCGTCACATGTTTTAGTATATTTTTTTAAATAGCAACTGCGTTTTTGAATGAAAATGTGTATATTTTGGAATATAAAGCAGATGTGGCATAAGAATCAATGAGAAATTGTAAAATTCTATGCATTTGATTATTAACTTCCAATAATTAGCGTGACGGAATGACACATCTTCGGCGATGGAATGACAAAACGAGTCCTTGAGAAGCTTAGTCAAAAACTAGGGAATTATTTTTTTTTCAATTAACCTAATGGCTAAAACAGCTGTTGAAAGACAGATAAAATGTTGAAAAAGACCAAGATCCCCATGATATGATGAAGAAAAAAAACAGAGAAAGAAAGGCAGAGAAGAAAGCTTCCGCGACAAAAGTTGGACTTAAAAAACTCAGAAGTGCAAACGCTGTTGTGCAGAGATTGTGTAAACAAAGAAAAAATCAAATTCTACCAATCTCTTCACATACAAATAATTTAAATTCCCTATACAAATTCCTGCAGAGTCTTGGTAAACCCAAAAAAAAAATTGTACACTCACCATAAAAAAAATTGTACACTCACTTCCAAAATCACCAATAGAGGTAAAAAAATTAATTCAGTCTTTATGTGAGAAGTATTTAACATCGAACTCAAAAGAAACTAAGTGAGAAAAGTAATGTTGATGAGCTGTTTAATTTGGTTAAAAAAATTTTACTGTCAAGATGATGTTAGTTACAAGCCCCCAAGTATGAAGGATTCAGTCATAATACAAACTCTGACAGAGTAACGAAGAGTGCAGATGCAATATATACTTATGGCCTTAAAAGAGGCTTTTCATAAAGAAGCATATATTGATGTAAAGTGTGTCTTATCTCATTTTTGTTCTTATTCTCATTTTTGTTAAGTGTATTTCATTAATACCTCACAGCACATGCACCTATAAATACCATGTAATTGTGATGTTGTTCTAAAAGGCCAAACAAGATGTTGGCTGCTGTAAAACGGCACATAATATGTAAAAGAATTTTATGATTTCATAAAGTCGAAGCAACAAATCGTTGAAGTTTTGTTTTTGTCCAGCTATTCTATTTAAGAGAGGGCAAAAGAGAATGACTTCAGCTAGACACTTGCTACATTAGCATTGCCAGGAACAAGAGACCTGCACTAGATGCTCATGTAGTTGAGAAGCGAATCATCAAAATTGGAATGCTTTCTAATTTTAACCAAAACCAAGTGTATGATTTGAAAAGCCACTGTTTTGAAGAGGAAATGGAAAATATGATTGAGGAGTATGCGGTCGGCTCTTTAATCATTGTCCCATACTGCGAAAAAAAAGAAGGCACATTTATATGCAGCGCAAATTACTTTGATAAACAAAGACGATTTAGATGTTAAAGTATTTAAAGAACATGGGACAAAAATTGATTTATGCATAAATTTCCTGAGAACGAAGATAAGATGTGACATTGGCAAGTTAGATATAAAACCTCTTCTGAGACAACCTAATTTTCAAATTGTTGAAATTTTAACTGATTCTTACGTAAATATTAATTCTGTTTATCTGTTACATTCTGTTTATCATTTACATATTAATAAAACATTTTTTAAATGAAGACTTTCTTCCACTAAACTTTTTGTCATTCCGTCACGGTCATTCCGTCACAGCAAATAGATGTTAATAACTGCTAGCCAACCTGAGGTTAATTTTCCAAATTCACAATTTACATTGCTTACACATTATACTAAAAGTAAAAAATAGTTCAGGAAAATAATAGTTGCAAAATTCACAGAAACTACCAGTTCTAAGCGGCATGCCGAAAGCTTGGTTGCCAAAATGTCATTCCGTCACACAAGTAAAAAGTTCATAAAATTAAAAATAAAAAAAATACAAAATTCTTTTTTTTTAGTTTATGAATCACATTATACCAATAATAATGATATGCATGAGAAAAAATCATGTTTATTTGAAATTAGATGCATAGAAACTTCAATTAATTGTCATCATGCAAGTCAAAATGTCATTCCGTCACATATGGAATTGCCCTGTAATAATGCATAAAATATTTTGAGAATTTGGTTGCAGATTCTAAGTCAATAGTTTATAAAAAAAAAAAGGTAGATATTTTATCAAATACTGTTAATAATTCTGTCAAATACTGTTAATAATAATAAATAATTATGTTAGAATTTGTCAATTTTGGATGAATTACTAATGTTTTTTTCAACAAACATTAACAAATAGGATGTAATATTACTTAAAATAGCTTTTAAAAAAAATGTCATAAAAACTTTTTTTTAGGCTTTATTTTTAATGTAAGATCTTATGTCTTTTTAAATAAATTCATTTTTTACGTTTTATTGATAATCTATGTATTAAAAGGGAATATATTAAAAAATTTATAAATCATGAAAACATTTCTATAATATTTTAGGTTTCTGCGTAATCATGGGAAAGTTCTGAGAACCAATTGTTTTATGCTACACCATATCTATTATGATGTTTAAGTTTCAACATTGAAGCTAATTTAAAATTAATTAATGAATAAAGAAAGGAAAGAAAATATTTGATAAATCACATTCATTCTTATTACCCCAAAGTTGCAAGATTTACAAGTATATTTTTAACTGTCTTAACTCATACATAACAAATATATACAACAACTATATATAACAACTATGTATAACAACTACCTATATTTAACAACTATATTTAACAACTATATAATTCTAATTTAGTGTTTTGATCCACTGTCCATTTTACACATAGAAAATCATGATTGTTTTTTTATTTTTTTATTATTCTCACAAATAAACATGCTTTTAAAAAACCTCACTCTGTTTTAAACCTACAAATGGTCGTGCACATACAAAATGCCTCTAAATTTATGTGTAGCAACATGACTCTATTTAGAATTTAGAGAAAAATGACCCTTTATGCTTCAGTTTTCTTATTTGTGGGAGAATCTTCAGCACACTTATATATAAACGAAAATCTTGAATATTTAGAAGCAGTAAAAATGAAAATGTCATTGAAACATATTAATGAACTCCTCTGCTTTTAAAATTTACTTTGAAGTTATCTTATTTTTTATAATTGATATCAAGCTATTTAAGATTTATTTATTATTTTAATACTTGAAAAAAATATTTTTAGAGTTATAAATGGATTAAGATGTGATTTTTAAGGTGGATTAAGATCTTCTACTTTATTAATTAATTATTTTTTTAAGTGTAATTATAACAGATTTCTTAAATAAAATGTTTAAAACTGAATGATAATTTTTTTTTAGAGTTCAAGGTGTTTTGGGCTATCAACCAGAAGAACTTTTAGGCAAAACTTGTTTTGACTTTTTCCATCCAGAGGATCAAACTCACATGAAGGAAAGTTTTGAACAAGGTAAAAATGTGATAAATATAAATTACAAAATGCATGAAACAATTGGCTTTTCAATTTGATTTAGTGCATATAAACTTGTGTTGATTGAACCACTTACTGACAGAATGGAGTTATCAACATATCATAGGTTTTTTTATCTTGAAAATAAATTTTAACTGATAACTTAGGAAATCTTTTGGTTGAACCAATTACTGACATTATCATATTATCACCATATCATAGTTTTTTTTCATGAAAATAAATTTTTAACATTTATAGTGCATAAATACTTGTGTTTTGGTTGTACCATTTACTGACAATATTGGATTATCAACATATAGTTTTTTTGCCATGAAAATAAGTTGAAAAATTGATCAAAACATTGCATATATTTATCATGGAATTGGTCCAAGTTGCTAACATTAAAAATCAGGAGTATTTCTTTCCTTTCCGATGAACAAATAAAGTATCTTTGGAATGTAATTCTGCAGAAAAAAAAAGAAAGAAAAATTATTTGCTTTTGTATTTTTTTCTGCTATTTTATTGCTTCAACTCTTTCTTTACTCTGTTTTTTAAATTTAAAATCTATAAATATGAAGATGCAAAGTATAACAGTTTTGGTTATAACTATCATTTCAATTAATGTTATTATATTTTAAATTTATTGTTGTGTTTTTGTCGGAGAAAATAGTAACTTCGTTAAGTCATGAAAAATTCTTGGAATTAGTTATGAAAAGTCATGAATTTGAAAACCTAAAATATAACAGACACCCTGAATATATTAAAAATATTATCTTTTTTAATCTATAATAATCTATTTTATATCAACCAAATTGAAAAAATGAAAGAAAGAACATGATTTCTAGAGTGAACTACGTTTTAAACTTTTGCGATTTCAGATATGCATTATATATTATTGATTTTGAAAAATTTGTGATAAGTGTTGATAATAATTCTTAATTAAAAAAAAATTCATTTTACAAGTGCTTTTATTCCGTCAATTAAATCAAATTGAATTTGAACTGACCAAATTGAATTATCAAATTAAAATTCTTGCTGAATTTAATCATAAGCAAATCCTCTTATTCTCAAATAAGAATAGAAAAGTCCCCTCCGATGCACGACAAAGAAGACAGCATGTGAATATAATTCTGTGGAAAAAAATCTTTCAAAAATTTCTCCAGAAAAGAAAACCAAATTTTTTTACATTATTTTTCTTTTCAAATGAAAATAGAAAGGAATCTCTTCCCCTCTGATGTGCAAGATAGACATGTTTTGAATATAATTCTGCAGAAAAGAAAACCAGCATTTTTTACCTCATTATTCTTTATTTATCTATTTTAGAGGGAGAATAAAAAAATCATAAGCATTTCTTTCCTCTATGATGTGGGAGAAAGGCATCTTTTGAATTTAATATCTGGATAAAAGAAAACATGTTTCGAACATTTCTGCAAAAAGTAAAATTTTTTACTTCCAAAAAGAAAAATCTTTCTGCAAGAACTTGGCAACATTTTGCCACAATATCGCCACGCTTCTGCCAAGGGGATTGCATTATATTATGTTATTTAGTTTTATGTTTTGAAAATGAGTATTTTGCGTACGTAATGCATGATTTGTGTTAGTTGCAGAAGTTACTCTGAGCTTTGGATAGTCCCAACTTGTTTTATGTCATGAACTTAATGCTCAGATAGAAAACTAATAAACTTAAATCAGTTAGTTTAAGCTATTTTCAATTTCAAATTTTGAGACTTCAATTCCAAAATCAATTTACTCTTTTTACTTTTAAATTGCGAAATTATTACTCTTCATGAAATTATTTATTCTCAATCATATACTTTGAAAAATGAATTTAACTTTCAATTAAACACCCATGTTTTATTTTCTTGTAGTTCTTAAATTAAAAGGTCAAGTGATGTCTGTCATGTACCGGTTCAGAGCAAAAAATAGAGATTGGACGTGGCTGCGAACTAGCAGTTTTGTTTTTCTCAATCCCTACACAAATGATATGGAGTATGTTGTCTGTAAGAATTCTTGTGCTAAGTAAGTTCATTTCAGTATCATTTATTTAATGTTGGAAACTACTTCACATATAAATATTTTTTTTTGTCTGTAAAGTTTTCTTTTCAAACTGATTTTCATTAAATTTTTATCACACATATATATATATTTCAAAGTTTACCTATAACTAACATTATTCAATCCATTTTTCATTGTCAATATAGTTATAATTTTTTATTTCTGTTATCTTCAGTTATGTTGTTCTGTTTTTGTTTTAAAGTTTGATGTATTATATATCTTATTTATAGATCCTGAGTGGGGTAGATTTTATATTTTTCTTGAATTAGTGCAATTCAAGGGTGGTAAGAAAAACTATCCCACTTATTTTTGACAATTATAAAATTTTATTAGATTTTAATCAATCACTTTTCATTTTGAAAAATGTATAGATAAAGGAAATCGCTTTGTTGGGTCATAAACATATGATAACCACAGTTCTCTTGATTTGAGCCATAGTGGTTGAGGGAATAGAACGTGAGTCTCCCAAAGAGGTGAACTAGTTTCAAATCCTAGGCGATGGTTGGTAGACACGAATTTTCCTTCCACCACAGTGCTGATGTAAAATATCCTCAATGGTAGATAGATCATGGGTTATAGACCCCTTTGCCACCAGGTTAATAGTGGGAGGTTTTTACAATTTTCCTTTCTGTGTAACTCAAATGCGGGTTAATTCCATCAAAGTCCTCTATGAAGGCAAAATTTCTCTCACTATCTGATCCTGGAGTTCCCTTGTCTTCTGGATTAGGTTCAAAATTACAAGGCTATAGAGTTGAACATAGGTGATCCTAAACGCAAAATTCAACGGTTATAAAATGAAAAAAATATTCCCTTGGCTTGTCTTAGCTAAATTTTCCCTCTACTAAATGTTATTTTAGTTTTTTAAACTTAAAATCTTTTTCCATTAAGAATGAGTTATTTATATCATTAGAAGTTTCTTTAAAGGAGGAGGATCTCGTTTGTGACCCACTTTGTTCTCTTAACTCTGCTCGCCATGCGAGTTTGATTTTACTTATTAACTCTGTTACTTTAAACAAGCCATGCTTTCATCTTTTATTTCTGTTTTGAAGGTATAATCTGGAATTTCCTTTTTCTAACAAGTGTGGGGTTTTGGCTTAATTGTTGCTTCTTGCAAAAAACCAAATGTTTCTTATACATTTCTGAAAGTCCTTATTGTTTTATTTAAAAGGGAATAGATAAATAATTTTATTCACGTGTGTTTTTTATATTTTATGCTAAAGCATAAGATATTTGTGACAAATTTTATAAGAATGGCTCATTTTTGAATTTGTTTTCTACGAATCTTCTATAAGTATAATTTTTACAATATTTACAGTAACAATGTTTTGTCACAAATTAAAAGATATAAAAAGAAAAAAACAGAATGTTGAGTTTTTTTTTCAAATGGTTTTGTTGCAAGTTTTTATGTCTAATTCTTGGCAACATAACAAGGAAAGGAATATGCTCTGGATTTTTATTTCTTTTTCTTCTTCAATGGCACAACAATCTGGTGTAGATCATAGTCTTCTTAAGAACTGATTTCCACTTTCCTGTCTGATGCTCTTGATTTCTAATACTTAATTTTAAGATTTTGTTCAAGGCAATCCATATGTTGTAGTTTTGGTCTTCTAGCTTGTACACCATATTAGTTTGGCCATAAAACCCTTATGACGAGGTGTTCTACAGATAAAATCTTTATATTTACTGAATTGATATGTTCTCAATTTTCTTTATTGCAAAATTAATTTTTTAATTTGTTGTAACTTTTTATTTTTATAGTAACATTTCAATGTTCTTTTTAAAATCTAAATTGGCTAAAGTTATTGTCATGACCATTAGAGTGTCTTAAAATTATGCGTCAAATGTCCTGTTTGTAAATGTTCCCAACTCTTTGATACTTGAGCAGTAAAAATTATTCCATGTACTATTATTTTTCTCTAGTTAAATGTCTGAAGTTAGTCTTAGCTTAATATTTCTGCTTTATTTTACATTGGTACAAATTTAATTTGTCCCAACAAAAAATGTTTTTTCTTCTTTAGATGCATAATATTTAATGAAGCTACTTAAAAAGGAAAAACATGTCAAACCATTACTAGCTTGTTAGCTAGGTAGAAAGGAGTGACAGTTATTTCATTCTTAGTGGAATATTTTTTACGAATGAGAATTTTTCTTAATTTAAAACTTTTATAATATTAGTTCAATTGCTGAAATTTTAAATTACTAGGAGTTTAATGCCCTCTGCTTAAAATTGCCTGACAACTCGAGAAAAAACTTTTACAATATTCGCTAATAGAATAATCATTGTAATCATACTAATAATTATCATAATCATACTAACTGTCTTGTTGAAGCATTTACTAATATTCTTATTTAAGCATTGCTTTAATATGCAGACAAAACCTTCCTTGGATTTTGATGTTACTCATTCAGAAAACTTAAACAGTATCCTAAGTAGTTGTCAGTAATACACATAATCTTAGTTTGAATATTTCCCTATTATATATACATAATTTACCTAGTAAAATACTTAATTTATGTAGTAAAAGGAATGTTTCTATACAAAAATTAAATAAGATCAATAAAAATTATCTTGATAACAAATAATATGCTGATGCTTGTTGTGTGCATTTTGCATCACTTACATATTATGTAAGAAATTAATATTTAAGACAATCTGTAATGAAGTTCCTTTATGTTTCATTGTCAAATTGATAAATAAAAATTTGCTATTTCATATTGAGGATTGGTACATGCTGCTTTTCTTCACTCTTTTCTTTTTTGAAAATATCGCAGACTAAATTATTTGCAGGTACTTTCCTATTTCAAAATGTTATGGACAATAATCTTTATTTACCTTTGTTAAATTATTTTTTAAACTAAAATATTGAATTTCAAAATGTAATATTCATTTATTGATTTGACATATGCATTGACTTAACCTGTTTCAAAATAAATTTCGTACATGTTTAGAAACATGTTACATTTCTTTCTTTAACTATACATATTTCAATCAATTGTATTTTGATTGTTGTTTGAATTAAAAAAGAAGATTGTAATTTTATCTACATTAAATCTCGAAAAATTTATCAATATATTCTCATTTTTATCTTTAAACTTGAGGAAAACTGGGTTATATATTTTCTCACAACCTGATCTTTGGATTTTATTCTTTGAGTATTTTTAGTTTAACCTATTGCTTTAATTTCCTGAGTTCTATAAATTTTAGATTTTTAGTGTAATTATTTCATTGCTATTACCACTAGTAAAGATACAAATTCATCATTTTTTTCTGGGGTACAAAAGTATGAGAAGGCCAAATATCTTTTTTGTTTTTAATTGTTTTATTATTTAAATAACAGGTCATGAATTGTGTGTAAATAATATTTCATTTAATTTTAGAACACTTCACCACCAACAAGAAGTATCTGTCTCAGGTACTGATCCGGGTCCTGTTAGTTCCTCAGGGGAAAATGCTATGAATCAATACAGTCACATGGGTCCTGGAAATTTACTATCTTCTCAAACAAAGCCAGAAGGGCTTGATTACAGTTTACCTAGGTCAGAAGTCTATCCTTCTGTAGTACCTCGAGCTCACCATCCAGGTAAACATGTACTTCCATGTTTATAGTAGAGTTATTTAAACATAATTAATGAAAATATGTTTCTTGCTCTTTGTGTATTTATACAACTTTTCTAAAATTTGCCTTATATAAAGGCCTTTTTACACATTCCAAGTTCTTGAATCCGAGAAATTGGAGGGATTTCTCTGTCCAAAAAATTGGATGATTCTTCGACACTATCCAAGATCTTAAATGTCACTGATTCGCCGAAAGAAAAACTTGCGCATGCGCATTGTTCATATTCAACATTATAAAATAAGACTTACATAAGTTTAAAATTACTAAATAAATTCAAATAAAATCATAATAACACAAATAAACAACAACAGATCAATTTATTTGGACTAAAATATATGAAAACATACAAGAAAATTACATAATTTACTGCCTGCTTGTTGACGTCACAAAACCTAAGACGCTGATTGGTTAAGGGAGAAAAAACTTGGATGGAAAGTAGAACATGCTCTACTAACGTCCAAGAAGTTGGACCAAGTTCTTGGATGATTGTTTACATGATCCAAGCTCTAAGCAAAGCAAGTTTCCATCAACATCAATAAATTTCTGTCCAAGAAATTGGACCATGTAAACAGGCCTTAAAATGTTGTAGATGAAAAATAGGCTTGTTTTTTTTATTTTCTAATCTTGTGATTGAAAATCTTATTTTCTATGTCTTACATAATCTTATGTCTACTACCCTAATGTTTAAAATAATTTAGTTTTTTTCCAATAACTTAAAAAAATCACTATAAGATTAAAAAAATCACTATATTTTAAATATGTTACGTTTAAGAAAAATTTGGTATTAGGTAGGAATTTGAATTTGATTGCCAAGATTAAGGTTTTAATTTAACTTTAATATATTTCAGTGATTCAGTCTTATTTTATATTTGTACAGGCGATTAGTACCATGTAAAATCCTTTATTGTTGCTTATTATAATAATTTATTTATACTTTCTAGAACAGAATTATGCTCAGAAAACGTCAGCACATTACCGATATAATACTGGAAATTTTGTCAAAATGTTATATTGCACAAATCTAAAATAATCTTTAGATAGTGTATATTAAGATGATCTTATATTCTTCTATATTTTTGTAGCTAATATTTAAACCAATTATTAAATGACAAAATGAAGAGAGTTTATTTCACTTGGTGTCCATAATTTTTAGGAACTCAAGGTATTCAGGAAAGACGTCCAGGTTCAGGTCAATCTGTTTATTCAAATTATGAAAATAGTGGGCAGCAACATTCTGGTCTGAGTTATCCGACCACAAGTGTTGGAAGTGGTGCTGGAAGTTTGGGAAGTTCACTTGCACAAACACCTCCATCTGCAGTTCCCAGCGGCGGTGGAGTCTTGACTCGCATATCGAAACCTGCTACAACTTCATCCTCCTCATCCCCACAAGCTGTATGGGTTCAGAGGCATCTCGCACAAGTAAATTGCTCTATGTGTTTATTTTAATGAATTTTAATTCATTAAACGGGAAAAAAACCATTTAACCCTTATTATTAATTTAAATTTAAGCCCTTCAGAGCTGCTACAAGTTGAAAATAGTGCTTCCCCAAGCCCGCAGACTCAAAGTTTATGCATGCTAAACAGTTTGTATGCATACTAATGTGAGAGTATCAAATTGAGATCACGTCCATATGGTCTTAAGCCATTAGAATCAGAGAGACTCATTTTATATGTGATACCATGAGTTATGAAGGGAGTACCGTAAAATCATATGTATGTGTTTGTGGTTCTGAAGGGGTTAAAATGACACTATAGGAAAAATGCAAGGTGCGTACTGACTCCTTATATTCCTTAGAAACTCCTTGGAAATAAAGTCTCCAAGGAGTACTTGGAACTACTTAGATCTTTAAATTAGTCCTTAGAAACTTCTTAGATTATTGTGTTGCATAGATGAACTTACTAAGTATGCTGATGAATTTGCTGTCCAAATAGGGAAACTAAATGATATGACTTAGCTGTCAAAATCTAATACTTTAAGAAAAACTTTAAAAGAAAAAAAATTTAATTGCAAGAGTTAGAAGAAAAAAATAACATAAATAATTTTAATTTTACATGTTACAAGCAAACTTAGTTAATAATTTATTGTTTTTTGAATATAAGATTGGTGGGTTTTTATGTTAATCTTTAACTTCAACTAGATTTATTAAAATATTTGAAACTGGAAAATGTATTTATTTGTAAAAGTGATAACTTTATTTTTCTTGATGAAGTTTGACAAAGTCGAAATTTATTTCAAAAAGGCTAGAAAAAAATATGCAAACTATACATTTTTGTGAGTTCCTTATAATAACAGCTTTTTAATTGAAAAAAAAAACTGTCTAGTTATCAAAAATTAAAAATTTTTGTGTAAAAGATAATTCCTTAAAATTTTGGACTCTTGGATTTCTTCTGATCTCTGTATGAACTCTGAAAAGGCCACATCTTACATGTTAAGATTAAGCATTTGTGTTCTTAGGTATGGTACAAAATTAAAATATCAAAAAAAATGTTCAGAAATTTATTATTTTTTTAATGTATTCGTGTTAGTTTCTAATGTTATTTAAGTTTTACTGTTATAATACTACTTTTTACTCTACAGTGCTATTTTTTGCACCTTTTTGTGTTTTAAAGACCAGGTTTATGTAATTTATACTTATAAACATGCACATTTTATGTCTTTAAACAAAGGCTCTTGTAATAAGTTGAAGTGTTATTTAAAAATTCATTTTAATTTTTCTTGTTTCTTATATCCTTAAAGAATCTTTAATACTGTTCTGTCATTTAGCTTTTAGTAGGTGTTGCAAACAGTTTTATTAGATGTAAAGTAGTCACCTTACTTCTATAAGTTGCATTTGTAATGTTTTATGTTCATAAGCTATAATAGATTGAAGCAGTTTTATTGCTTACAAAGGTTGACAAGGTGCACTGAATGTTGGTAAAAATTATTATTACCAATGTTCAGTGCTTTAAAATGTTTAATATTATTACGAATATAATTTGTAATGTAAAATTAATTTGCTTATTCTACATTAAAACAGGCAAATTCAGAAGCATTTGGTCAGAATTATAATCAAATGAATTCTCCAGCACGAAGTCCATCTGGTCCAACGTATACACAGTTGGGATCTACACCAGGTCCAAGAGGTAATATTTTTGAAAATTTATTAAACATTTTTACATTTTAAATTTATTAATAAATGTAATTCAATGTAATGCACTGTAGATTATTAAATGTATTATTAATGTTTTTATTCAAATTTATTTAAAACTTTCTTAACATGAATATTTCATATTTTAAACTAAATGCTGAGAATTTTTCTGCTGAAAATATTAATAAAACTCCCAACCTAGTTTAAACAATTCTGAAATATCTATTTTATCTATGCACCTCTTCTTAAGCATTCTGTACAGCAGTGTAACAGTTTTTATTTATTTGAATAGTAGCAGATAAAATGATATTGAGACTACAGTTTATTTATTTACAAAGCAAAAACAACTTAGAACTCAAATTTATTTAATAACTTAGAAATTTAGGAACTGATTTTTGGATAATAAGGTAAAACAATCAAATTGTTTAAGTTTTAAATAGAGATTTAGATAGATTATAAGAATAATTGTCTATCTATGGAAGTAATAATATTAGAAGGAAAACTGGAGCCTACACCAATAGCTTTAAGGTAAAGAAGCTCTTCTACGAGGGGATAGTTATTTCAGCAAATTTTAGAGGCATCGTAAACGAGTGTGCGCAAAGCAGCTATCTTTTGATTGGAGAGAAGGGGGGAAAGTTATGAGGGGGAGTGTAACTGCAATTGTTCTCCGAGAAATTGTGAGAAATTTCTCACAACTTTGAGTAATAAGAACTTCTAAAGAAAGGTAAACACTTATGTAAACTTTCTGTTTAAACATGAATTCTATTCAAGGATCATAGAATTCATAATATGAAGAACATATTAAATGTCTGCTTTGCCAATCACTGTGAATAAACTAAATTTCCCCTACCTTAAAGACCTTACTGCTGATATTACTTGTTGGGATATTTATCAAATTTTATGTCAATGTTGTCTTGTTTATATTGGACTAATTAAACTTACCCTTAAACTTAAAAAACATGAAAGATGTGTAAAAAAACAGGGTTTTCAGACAGGGAAAAAAAGAGATTTTCCATAGTTCTTCATAGTTGGAATTCTAACCACAGATTTGACGTTTTTTCTGCTAAAATCATTCATCACTGCTCTTCATCTACAGAACTTGATTTTTGGGAGTCATTCCATGTTATGAAAATTTTTTATAATTTAGTTAATGATATTTTTAGTATCCTTCTATATCCGAATATTTAGAAGTCTATTCTAATTTTATCTGTTGCAGTCTGGGGTTCTGCTGAAGCCCCTTACACCTTTTTCTTATCACCTTTTTTTTAATTTTGTTCAAACTTGTTCCTCTATCCTTATAGGTTAAACTACTTTGCATGTATTTGTCTCTATATTTCTCTATCATGATTTGGTGTTCAGACACTAAGGAAGGTTCTTGTTTCTTAAACCAAATTTATAGCATGTCCTTTTATGTACTTTCATTTGTGCTTCATTCCATAGCACAAAGTATACCATTTTATTTTTTTGAAGTTTGTATTATGTACCAGTTTTACTTAACCCTTAATTGTTGTTACTCTACTTAGCCATGTCTGTAAAAATATTTTGCCTAGCACAGTTTGTACACTGAATAGCATGCATTACAGAAAAACTGTTTTTTGTGTTAAGGAGAAGGTTTTACTGCAAACTTAGATAACAGTTAAGATGTTTATATGTTAAACCAATATAAATATTCTTTCTACAAAACAAAAGAAGTTAAAACGATTCTATGTCATACTTAATTTAATATTGTAAATATACATTTTTAAGATAAAATTACCACTCTTGAAATTTTGTTCAATCTTTATAATTTAATGGAATTTTGTTTCTTATAGTTAGAGATATTTGCGAATATGTTCAAAAATAAATAAAGGGAAGTCAAAAGATTTCAGATAGATTTTGCAGTTTTGCAAGGATTTGAAATTGATCGATTTTGTATCCTTCTAGTTCCGATGTCTTGATGATTATGGACATTTTAAATCTAATTTTTTATTTGTTCCAATTTCCAGTTTGTTTTTTAAATATTCAAATTCATTTCTAATTATTCAACCGAAATGTCAGTAAAATGTATAGTATTTTTTAAAAAAAAAGAATATTTATGGATTACATTTTACTGAAAAAAATAAGCATTTATAAAAAAATGTACTAGTGTTCCCTATCAAATCTTTTAGTTCCAAGAAAGCAATGAAATTTAACAATAAAGAAATTTTTTTGCTGATAATCAGAGATGATCAATGTTTATTAGAGATATCAATGTTTATCAGAAAAGGACAGATTATCTGTCCTTTTTTGTTCTAATTTCAATGAAAACCATAATTTAGCACCAATACAAATTCAGAACTGGATTAGATGCTGGTTTAACTGTCTGTAACACCTAATTTTGAAACTAATGTTGTTAAAGCTATGAAAAATTTTATTTCATTCCTCACATTAAATGTTTGCGAAATAATTAGTGTTTTTTCGGTTAATATCTTTACAATCGCTAATGAACATTATTTACTCTGTCTGGGTTCCACTGAAAAAAGGGCAATCATTTAGGATTCTTTAGTTTGAAAAAATTAGGAACTACTGCTTGTGCTTTTCTCATTATCTATATTAATGGTTAATGCAATTTCTGAATATAGTCTTTCTTTTAATGTTCTCTTAATATTTGTATTAACAGGAATCTGGGGACATTGGCAAAGCCAAGGCACACCCGAAGGACCCTCTTCATCGACATCTTCCGGAAGCCACCCTCAGGCTCACGGTGCTCCTGGAAGTGGACCACAGCAACAAGAGCTATCTGACATGTTACAAATGCTCGACCAGAGTGGAGCATCATCCTTCGAAGAGTTATCAATGTTTAATACATTTCCAGAATAATCTGCAAGGATCTCCTTTTCTTGCAAGTGTACAAAATGTAGAGTGCATTCCCAGCACTTGATCATTTGCCATAATTTTTAATTGAACTATTTCATGTGTCATGACTTTTATATTTCATACATTTCCAGATGTATAGCATTTATCTGAACTTTCATTTTGTAGAGTGATTATACATTTCCACATTTTGTGAAAAGTCTCACAACTATGGACCAGTGAAACAAAGAACTGTACTTACTGTCATAAGTGTATGCAAAAGAGAAAAAAAATCTCAAACTGAAATCAATATATGTTGAGGCAGATCTGAATCAAAATCAAAAATAAGTTTTATTTTTGCCATAATATTCTTTTATTTATATTTTTTTGTTAATTTTGTGCATTTAAATTATATGATGTGGTATCTTGAGGAAACTAACATTCCATTAGATGGGAACCTATTTTGCCCGGTATAATTTTGCCCTATGAATGCCTCTTTTTGGGGATGCAAGTTCTCAATTTATTAATTATAAATAAATTTAATGAATGTTTATTCAGAGCTGCCAACTCAACCAGATTTTCCTCTAGGCTGCTAGATTTTGCCAGTTATCTAAAATTAATATNATTTTCCTTTTGAAAAAATTCTCTTAAGATTATAAAATTTAAAAAAGGAAAATCCTATTACAATAGATATTTTACTCAGTACCCTCTAAAATGAGTGAAATATCTAATTAACAGTTGAAATTATGATTAAAAAATAACATTTTATATTAACTTATTTACTGTCAATCATGAATCCAAAAATATTGCAATCAATTTAAATTTATAGCCATTTGTATAACATTGCTTTAAATTTTATTGCCCATGTAAACTCCTTGTTTTTAAAATATTTCTGATATTAACCCAAAAGTTGATATGAAATTTACATAATTTTTAATCTGTTTTTTCCCCTGTTCATGTTGGCAGCTTTAATATTATTTTTTAATTAAAATTTTGAATCTGTTCTATTTTTTGTGTTAGAAAGGTTCTTCATAAACCTGTGATTTTTTTTAAAAAAATTATTTGAATTCTTATATGAAAGAAAATGTAAAATTGAACTTAACCCATAAACTGACAAAACAAAACTGTGTTATACTTTTCTTGTGAAGCATTGTTTATTTTCCCCCTTTCATATTTTTTGGTGAAATCGACAGCTCTGCTCTGAAGTTCCCTTTCATCCAAAACAGAATGAAGGAGAGAATACTGCATTATCTTGATGCTGTCCATAATTTTCATTCTATCTTTGTTCTTATAAACATGCTTATTTTTCTCTGTCAAATTTTATAATTATCAACAATTTGATGTGTGTTATTAATCATAAATGAATTGCAAAATGTATAATTTTACTTGTTTTAATCTTGTGTTGCGAATGCAATAGAAATAAAGAGCTCTAATGTTTGTCAGTATGAATCCAATTTATGAATTATTTTTATTTGTTAGAATACTTGTTATAATATTCTTATTTTTTTAAAAATATTTCAGAACTTGCTAAAAGCTGTGAAAAATTGAAATTTCATGAATATTGTATGTAGTATGCAATTATTGCTCTGTGAATTAAAAAAAAAAACTGTAGTAATGATACTGATTATTCTATTCTCAATCTGTACTACCATCAGAAAGTGTGTTTTTTTTTTCTTTCTCAAATTTTACGATAATTGAAGTTTACAATGTATTATATTTAAATGAAAGGATTTTTTTTCCTTATTGACAATTGACTCCTTATAATTTGTTGAGTAAAAGTTACCTTTTCTGTAATAGAAAAAAATACTTTTCCAATAAAATGAAAAAAAGAATGCAGTCATGTCGACAAATGTTTTTAAATTGGAAACGCCGAGTTAATCAGAATGTTATTTATGAGCTACCAATGTTTAATAATTGTTTATTTTTCACATTGAACTATTAGTTTCTTTATATTTTAATTTTAAGTAATGTTTTATTATATGTTTAAAATCTTTTTTATATACATTAAATACTTCATTAAAAATTGTTCAATTCATTTGAGCAAAAATTCTGCACTTCACCTACAAATTCTTTTATTTTTAAATCTGGAAAATTGAAAAATATATATATTCATTTGTTTTATTAACGTTTTCTTTTGTATTTAAAAAATTATAGGCGTATAACTTAGATAAAAAAAAAAATTTAAAAAATTATTTTTTTGTTAACTAAACTGGTGAATTGTATCATAAAATCTATGTTCTAGCTATTATGTTGGTTTCTAAAAACATTAAAATTTTCCATTAATATAGTTTTGTTGTTGGGAAAATTAAATTCTAAATTATCTTATTAATGATATTTATTGATAATAATTTTAAATTATTTGTGAATATCTTTTTAACAAATTATTATAAATTTGTTAGTAAAAATGTATTTATTTGTATAATTTTTTTAAGGATAACTTCTTATCAATGCCTGTACAAGAGTTGCTGATTTCAATGCAATAAAACTGTACACATTTTGTAAATTTGTTGTTCCATCAATTATCTTTTTTTTTCTTTTAACAATAACACCAGTCAAACAATAACTGAAGAGCTCCGCAGATGAAGGTTTTTAAGTGGCTTTTTAGTAATTTTGTGAAAATAGGCTTCATAATTGACAATCGAGAATGAAGATTATATGTTCTCTTTATCAAAAATAAACTTTTGATGTTGGTTATTCAATTTATCAGTTTTTAAGGAAATTCCAGTGAATTATTGAGATACCAAAATAAGCTTGTTATTAAGAAATGTATTAGATTCACAAATATTATTACAGTAATCTGCCTTGTCTTCATATAAATTAATTCTAAATTTTTGGAATTCAGCAATATTCTCTTGGGGGAAATTTTTTTACTATGCTTGGTTATAAAGTCATAGCCAAAAAAAAAGAATCAAACATATTATGATAGAAGTTATATGAATAAAAAGGTGTTTTAAAATGCTGTTTACCAATTTTAAACTATATTTCTAAGCAAAACATAACTGCAAAATCAGGATTTACTGTTTGAATGACATTACTTGACAATAATTGGATTTTATTAGTTTAACTATTGAATACATTAGAAAAACATTTGATCCTGAATCAAGCAAAATTTTAAAAGTTTTTGTACAAAAATTGATGTTTATGATAGGAAGTTAAAGGAAACTTTTGTGCGAAATCAATATTAATATAAATTATCTCGAGAAGTTTATCATTGTTAAAGCTATCAAGAAATTCATGAACTTCAAAAAAAATTTCAGAATATAATCTCCAACTTATGTAATTCTGAAAAAAAAAAACAGTGTTTGGTGAGCTTTTCTGTGAGTGTGAGGAAATTAGGTCACCTTCCTGATTCCTCAAACTTGCTTAAAATCATCTTGATGCATTTGTTTAGGTACTGTATTTTTAGAAACATTTTCTCTAAAGTTTTGTTAGGGGTTTCTTGGATACTGATATAGTAGCTGAAAATTTTGTTGGCTTGCAGGTTGCCTTGCTGCAGATCCTGTCTGTAATTTTATCTGATCTGATATTTTCGAAGTCATCTATTTTTATACTTAGGCTAAGAAGAAGTATGATAAGAATATTTAGGGATTACATATCTAGGAGTCTGATATTGCATATTAGAATTTCGCCTAATTGTAGCCTGGTAAAATCTTCATTGTGCCATGAACTTTCTTATTGCTAAAAGGGGATATCAATGTATATATATATATATATATATATATATAAACTAACACGGGACAACAGCGAACGGGNGAAATAGCTTGGAGGGCAAGAGTAGTTATAATATAATACAAAATCATTCATTCTTTAAACATTGGTACAAGCTTATGAGCATACAAAATTGATATATATATATATTTATATATATTGAGATTCAGGAATTAAAATATAGAGCTCTTATAAATAAGTCTTATTAATATCAGTTATGCTAAAGAATAAATAATTTGAGCTATGCATTTTTCTTTTATTTGAAATTATTAGATTTGAGTAGGTCTAACGAAACCCAAAGAATTATGTGAAAATAAATCTCAAAAATGCTCTTAAAATTTTTAAATTTAGGAATTTTTAAGTACGAGGCTCAAAATTAAGTTAGAAAAATCTCCTTAACTTTTGATCGAATTTTAGGGAAGTAATTTGTTCTGTGGGGAGAAAACATTAGACAATGCCAACCTTTATATATCAAAAGGTACCTCAAGATTGAATCAAGTTAGCATGTCTTATATACTAGTCAATTGATGTTTAATAATCGTAGTGGTAGTTACGCCCCAATACTCCTCCACCAGCATTTTATGAACGGATACCACTAGTTGCTGTATTTGTGAAAGATTAAGGTCACCGGGTTTTGAGCTTTGGCCATGAGAGCTATAATTAAGTTCATGGTTGTGTGTGGTCTCTCCTGTGTTTCTATTAGCAGAAGACTGAGAAGCAACAGCGTGATGAGGACGATGACACAGTCACAATTAACAAGTCAACTATTCAATGTGGACGTGATCCTTTCACGTCCGGAAGTCACCTATGTAGGGAGAGACCATTAGACAATGCCAACCTTCATATATCAAAAGGTACCTCAAAATTGAATCAAATTAGCATGTCTTATATACTAGTCAATTAATGTTTAATAATCGTAGTGGTAGTTATGCCACAGTTCCGACCAATTTCAAAATTAGTTTTAAACTTTGTCTTCAGGTGGCATTATAATAGTTATAAAGCAACGTTTTTAAAATAACCAACATATGCTGCAACTGCTCCGTACTTCTAATAAATCTACTTGATTTTTCAAAGCTATAAAAATAACTTTACGTTGCCAATAGCCCATTGTGCAGCTCTAGTGCGACGGAAATGAACAACAACAACAACTTTAAAATAAATATCTGCGTTCTATCAAAACAACCATTTTATTAAAAATCTTTAGAACAACAATCTTTTTACGTTGCCACTTAAAATTATTAATATACACTTATGATAATATGTTTTTATATACACTTTAAACTAATGACGTTATCAATAATTGCTATCTCTTTTTATAGTTTTACATAACAGCAACATTGTGCTGTATCTGAGAACAAAATTTGCATATGTCGTTCAAAATATTTCAGTTAGAATGATCTGACAACAGTAAAAATTTAGCTTTACAATTTTTCTATTCTATAATATGCTGACAAATTTTGTTGCTAATGGGATACTTGCAAGTAGGTTGCTGATTGGTTGTCTGAAACGTGGCATTCGCTTACACTAGCGACTGTTCTTTCTACTCTATTTTGAGGAAACTAAGCCCAATAAATATCTATTCTTTTAAGGGACACATTCTATATTCTTTCACATAAATTTCAAATCTTCCACTATACATTTCTAACTTATCATCAAGACAGGTAGAACATAAACAAACTAATTATGCATCGTCGAAGTTGCCAAGTACGCAATATATATATATATATATATGTGTGTGTGCGGGTGGGTGACCACTTGGATCAGTCTGCGTAGGGACCGAGGGTGTGCGGTATTGGTCCTCGTTAAACTGTTCTACCGTAAAGTGCTCGACTTCGCGCGCAGGTCGTCGGGCTACCGAAGCGGGGGTGCCATCCCCTCCGCA